CTATATTCAAAAGTATTAACAGAATGAGCAACTTACTCTTCTGCAGATGTACTTCCTTTTGGAAAATACTTAATCGTGGGAAAACCAGAGACCCCAAATCTAGAACCAAGTGTCTTATCACTATCAGCATCAACTTTGGCAATAATTACATCATCGGCTTTGGCAAATGCTTTTCCCAGTTTTTCATAAGTGGGTGCAAGCGCCTTGCAATGACCACACCCTGCAAAAAAAATAAATATGTATAAATATATATATATATATATATTAGGACATCACCCTGAAGTAAAGGGTGGATTCATTGCAACATATGCATATTATTATAGCTGTTGCATTTGCCTCTTGAAATGTTTTATTGTTTTTAAGCCTTTCAATCAATGGGTTTGGGGGTACGGAAGGAGAGAAAGGGGGGTCGATATTGTGACTGTATAAATTTTCTTTAAACCAACTATCTTCCAAAAGGTATGTTAGGCACCAGTATCCTTCAATTTTCACAGGCATGCTCAGGAATAGGTCATCTGTTGAAAAAAGACTTTGAGATTGTGAGATGGAAAATTCTGAGGATCATGGTGGGAATAAAGAACACTGGGTATTGGACCTCTGCTATGTCTTGAGGAAATATGTGTTGTGGTTCAAGTTTAATCTTTGGTTTGAATTTTTTTAAACCAGTTTAAATTTTTCAAACTGGTTTGAAATTTTCAACCTGGTTAGAAATTTTTAAACACATAACTCGTTCTCATTTATTTGTACCTCTCCCTTTAAAATACTGTGTAAAATAACCTTGTGACATCAAGGTTTCACATTTTAGTAAGTATTTGCTTTAGTGATTAGGGTTAAACATTTATTTCAAATGGTTAGCTTTCATGTAAGGTTAGGAACAGTGTTTCTAGATCTGTCTATGCTTCCCCATGTCAACAATGTTTGTAAATCTGCCTTTTATCATCTTCGCACCATTTCCTGCATAGGGGAACAATTATCAATGCAAACTACTGAGATTCTTATTCACGCCTTTGTAACTTGCAAACTCGATCACTGCAATTCTCTACTATATAATCATCATCATCATCATATCATGCCTCTAAAAACTTCAAAAAGCTTCAATCGGTGCAGAATGCAGCTGCCAGACAGATTACATGCTCTAGGGAGTGTGATCACTCCCATCCTCTTCGATCTTCACTGACTACCTGTTTCTGAACGAATTCAATTCAAGATTCTACTACTTAAGGCTCTGCATCAGCAATCTCCAACCTACATTCAAGACCTAATAACCCACTACTTACCATCTACACTCAGTCTGAATCCTGTTAGCTTTAACCTTAAGACCTATGGATCTAGAGCATTTGCTGTTTCAACCCCCAAGCTTTGGAACAAACTACCTGACGACATACGCGCATGTGGGAATCTACGTCTTTTTAAGCAAAACTTTAAACCTACCTTTTCACCTTTTTAAGAACTATTATTTTAGTCATTAGGAAGATTTATTTAATTTTATATGTGTTTTATTTTAATCAATATTTATTTTAATTCTAGTTTTTTCACTTTGTTAAGTGCCTAGATCATTACTGGATAGGCGCTATAAAAATGTTCTTCTTCTTCTTCTTATTATTATTATAATATGGGGCGGGGGAAGGTTAGGTGAGAAATAGTGAAGAGGGGTTAGGAAGACCTAGGAGAGGCGCTGCCAGGGGGGGAGGGGTCCCATGTTGCCCGCCTGAATTTTTAAACGTCTTGTGTCAGTGTTTATAAATGCTTGTCGCTTATTGTCGGCTTTGCCGTCACTGTCACAATTTGGCCGAGGGAGGTTGTCTCTTGTCGTGATTTCATTTTACGCGCTGTCGCTACTTTTTGGGCCATGTCGCTTGTCGGAATTTAGCCTGGCAGGGCCTCTTAGGAGGGAAATGACAGAACAAGGAGGAAGGGGTGGTTGGTGAGATGCAAAAGAACTGTTAAAATGAAAAATTCTGATAAGTACTAATAATATTATTCTTTTTAAGAACCCCCCAAAAGCCTAGCCTTTATTTTTCAACCACACCATAAAAAAGAAAAGGCCCTTTTTCAGACAATTGATAAAAGAACTGGTTTAAAAATTTCAAACTAGTTTGAAAAATTTCAACTTGTTTGAAAAATTCAAACCAAAGATACAATTTTTTTAAGGGACAAAAAGATAAGCTTATCAATTTTTGGTGTAGTGATTTCTAAGTATGAACCTGTAGGTCATTTTTATAAATTTTTTAAATATCATCCTGGTACTTACAAGGTGCATAGAATTCAACAAAAGCAAATTTATCACCATTTACTACCTGGAGAGAGAAACAAGAGGTGATTGACAAGATTAAAACTTTGGACACTCTAAAATAAAATGACATTTTACTGATCGTGAAGCTTGCATGGGAATGAAATTACTTGTAGCAGGAAAATTAGAGAGAAAAAAATTTATCTAAACTTAATCGCTTATGCTGAAAAAAAAAGAAGAAAAACAGCGTGTAATACTTTGTCCAATCAC